TTTAAGCCCATGCCAACCTTCAGCCCCGCACAGCTGCCTGTCAAAGCACTCTGCAGACAAACTGCATCAGATGAACAACCTCCTTCTGTTTTCAACTTGCAACCTGCTTGTGTCATTTGACAACTTTTCCCTCTTGCATCGCAGAAATGAGCTACTGAATCCTGTTCACTCTCAGAATTACATTATATTTCATGCCTTTCTACCGTGTTCCTTCCCTCCAATTTGAAACTCCTTTAATTCTGGCCTATCCTTTCAGTGACAGAGACCAGAGCTGCACACTGCAGTCAAGACAGTCCACACATCCTTGGCCTATAGATAACTGCAGTGATTCTCCCTTGTTCTGTTCTCCCTTTTTCCTAATAATTTCTAATAGCCAATTTGCTTTTTCTTGACAGCCACAGATCACTGAGCCAACCTTCACTTTCAGTTATCAGTTACAGAGCCAATATCTCATTCCCAAGCCAGGGGAGATTCTATCACTTTGTGCATAACGATCATTTCTGACTTGTTTCACCCCATTTTTAGCTATGCAGAATTTTATCACTCATTTTATCATCTGTTTAGTTCTTCTCACACGAAGTCCACAGAAGTATCTTGGCAGGCTGAAGAAAGGAACAGATGGGAATGTCATCATATCAAAAAGAAAAAAGGGAAATGCCAAGTTCTGCACATGGGGAGGAACACCTCAAGTACTTGTTAGGAGACAGCCAGCTGGAAAACAGCTTTACAGAGGGGGGACCTCCTGGATGAACTGAACAACACGCCCTCAGAAAAGCCATGCTGCATTAAGAGAAGTGCTGCCAGCAGGCTGCATGCTGCTTAGCATTGGTGAGGCATCTGGAGATCACTCCTGTGCAAAAACTAACACACAGATTCCTGCACTTAAGCACAAGAAGAGACCCAAATATTGGGCCAGGTTGCCCTGAGGTTGGAGCATCTCCAGCCTGGCAAGTACTGAGCCTCATTCACATTGCAGGGGAGCTGAAATGGTCAGTCTCCAGAGATGCTTGCCAATCTTTACATTTCTGATGTTGTGTAGTAGCTGAAATTCACAATAAACATTGTTATTTACCCTTAGAGATCATTCCCAATGTTCTTAAGAAGGGTTCTAAGCCCAGAGTTGTCCTCGGTGACTTATCCTTTGAAACTGCTCAGTGCCTTGCCCTCTGCACCTCCTAGAGTGAGAAGCATCCTCTAAGCATCTCTCTCTGCTTTCAACTCCACTCTGAAAACAAGTCTTTGTTTAATGAGTACATCAAACAAAACACGGCATACATGCACACCCTGCCTTCAGAGTGCCCACATCCACTAGAGATCACTGGCGAACACCCAGCCCTTCTCATACAATGCACTGACCTGCTACAGCCTCCACACACCATTAAGATGGAATTTGGTCTGGCTGATAGTGGGGCTCATCTCTACACGCATACCCCAAGCAAGCAAGTACAACTTCCTTATACAAACTTCCTGTCCCCAGTTACAGCCCATATAAATGCCACTGCCAACCAGGCAGGAAGAAAAGAAAGCCTTCCAAAACTTGGAAATCACACTCCACTCAGAGATTCAAGCCTGGCGAGCACACAGAAGAAATATAACTGTTGCAAAGTTCAACATCACCACTTGCAGAATAGGACCCCAAACCAATTTCTTTGTAATGTTGGAATTTCTAAGTCTGTTCAGCTCTGACATCTTGCATTGACCTTCTGCTACTGCTGAAACAACAAGCAAACACAATCTCACTACAGAATTGTTTCTATGGCATTATCTGCAATGGGGTTAATGACAGTCTGACTGAAATGCCATCTGGGGAAAATGGATTTTTGAGGCAGGTATGCAAGATTTGGAAAACATTCCGTAGGGATATTCTTGAAGACAATCTGCACAGCTGCCACACAGTGTAGAAGAGTACTTCTGCTACTGACTATGTTGAGAAGGCACAAAAAAAACCCCATGCGACTGACATAAAGCCATTCCTTTTCATAAGAGCCTGTTCCCTAAGAACAATAAAATCTTCACAACCCAGAAAAAGCTTTGTTAAAAAGGTAAGCTACAAATGTTAATTGAGGCTTGGAACTTACTCCCCACTTCCCTTTATAAAAAATGGACTATAATTCTCTGGGTATGATCTTGCAACCAGCTCCTTGTCCGGCAAACAAGACACCCATCAAATCCAAATCTTTTCAATGCAAACAGAAGGATGTTGTGGGGGCACTGTGTCAAAGGTCTTGCTGAAGTTCAGAGAGATGACATCAGTGGCTACTCCCTTGTTCACTGATGCAGTTAGGCCATGGTACACGGTTTATTTTTTGCTCTGCAAGTAGTCATGATGTTTTCAGTGAATCACCAAAAACTCATGCTGATCTGGCAGTCCTTGTAATCTGACCACTTATCTTCATCCAGCTCTGAAAGCCATACAAGTCCCCAGGAATAAATGACCGCTCACCATGAATGTATGTATCAAAATATGACCTCATACAGGTGTGACAAATTCCTCTGTGTGTAGCATTTTTTTTTTATTAGTATTTCATGAATTGTGTAAGCACACCTAGTCTTCAGCCACCCACTCATTTCACAAGTCGATTTTAATATCCTGCTAGGTTAGATTTTTGTCTGATTGATAAATAACTGATGTTCAAATAGGAAAGGAACAAAGTGCATCAACTTGGCTAGTTTTCCTGTTTGTTCCCTGATGTACACATGTAAAAATCAACAACATAAGTCAACCCTCCCAACTCCTACTTTTCTAAGCTCGTGACAACATGCATGTAGTTTCACCTCTATAGCACAACAGTCATGTTCTTTCCAGAAAGATGATCATTCTTTCCAAGCAGCTATATATCCCCTTCTAAAAGCAAATGCAAAGTTAAAAGCAGAAGTGAGGTTAACTTTACTTTGGAATAAACTTATTACATATCTTCCTGTTACAATTTTTTGTCTTCCAGGAGAAAGAGCAGCTGTAATGACAATGCTGAGGAAATGTACTTTTAATTGGTTTGTTATTTTATTGAGGATCTCAGCAGATGCTTAAAGCAAGGCTGCATTCACAGGCTTACACATTTGGAGTTAAGGAGGTCTCACATACAGTATGCTTTTTGTTGCAGTATTAGTGGCACTGGAAAGCCCTTTCAGGTTCAAAACACTAAATCCACCTGTTTCTTATGACAGCCTTACAGTTGCCATATGGAAATGCAAATGGGAAAGACAAAGAGTGCATATTTAGAAAAAGTCCCCACTGCTCTGCAAGGAACAGAAGCAACAGGAATTTCCATGGGATAGCCAGAAAGTTTTCTACCTTACTATAAAACACCTGGAGATAGCTAGAAGGATGAAAACCAGTCGTTCTTATTAAGAAATCCAGCTTTCTCACTTGTCTCCCTATTTTAGAATTAAACATTTACCAGCCATCCAGTTTTAATGTTAAAAAAAAAAAAAAAAAAATCAGCACACCAATTTCCTATCCATCTTGCCTCATGTATTCTACAATGTATTGACTCAACTGCCTGTTTCTTTTTGCTTTTTTTCCTTTTTATTTTGGAAGCCAAAAAAAAACCCAACAAAAACCACAACTGATCTCCTGATATCAGAGGGAATATTTTAAGAATTACATTCAGCAAGTTGTGCAAAACCAGTGTATTCTATGTTTAAAGAGAAGCCTAACTCGTGTATATTTACTGAGTCTTCTACACCTGTGTTTACTCATCCATCGCAGTGACAGTAGAACTGTGCAGCAGAAAGTAAGGGCAAAAATGGATTACAGAAGGTTCAAACTGCAAATTATTTCACTCTAAGCATACGCAAAGCTTTGTGCTTGGATGCACAAATGCAATAATCAAGAATTAAAAAGTTATTCAAAATGCCTCTATTGCTTCTCTTCTGCCACTCTATAACCACATGTTCCTCTGAATATACAGGAAGTACATTATTGAATTTATTATCATCTTCCCAGAAAAACTGCTCTTTTGTGCTTAATAAATGCTCTGAGACAAGGAAAGAAACAATTCCTACAAGATGCAAATGTACCACACTGCAGTCAGGAAAGTCCACTCTTCGTTCTACATAAAATACAATGAAAAAGCAGGGGTTTGCTTGAGTATTTATAAATCAATACTGCAGTCTTCACTCTCTTATTTGCTCCTCTTTACCAACAAACACAGCAAAACCTACACAATTTTCTGCGTCCTTAGACAACAGTTTTAAGGATAATCCAAGACTGTCTCCGAAAGAACCAAACGTAACTCTGCTCTGCTGCAATTAGAAGACATCTTTACTGAACTGATTTTTAGAGTCGCAGCAGAAAAGTTTGTATCTTTGCTTTAACAGAAATTAATTCTGCATTTAACAAGTTTAGCAATTAAATATTAATATCATCACCCCGATTCTTTTTCTCTTGTCAAATTAGCAAAGAAAGCATCTAATACTGAAATTATTCTACACTTCCAAAACTTGCAGTAACCAGACGAAGATTTGTTCTGAGATGTTCTGTAAGGGCACACTCTTCACACTGCTTTCATTTGGGTCAGTCAAGAGCTGCACTGTCACTGAATCAGACTATAAAAACCAGGAGAGTGGTATATACAAAAAAGAGAGGAGCCCAACTTCTCACATCCCATCAACATATGGAGGTACTCCTATGTTCAGTACAGAGACAATTATCTGTATCTATGAGATTCTCTAGCATGGGATGTGAACTGGAGAATACATGAAATATAAAAAGAATGCATTCTCAAGATTACTGATTTAATAAAGAACCAACATACAAGTGGTACTTACTTGGCTCGTATGGCATCAACATAACATTAAATGCAACAACTCTAACATGACTCAATCTCTTTTCAAAAATGCCTCATAGCCTTCTCCTCTGTGATGGAGATAATTAACTGACGATAATTTTTAAAAAATCCAAGAAAGAAAAGCAGGACCCTCTTCCATTTTCTCACTTCCATTTTTGTCACTAGGCAGTTCTCAAAAGCGTATGGAACTAAGAATGTAGTCAAAATTACCTTAATAACCAAGTCAAACTTCTGGTGCAAATCCCTGTTTATTGGCTTCAGGAGAGTGAGTTCAGCTGTTGTGAGGTTCATATGGAAATACTGTGGATAATCCTCGGGAGTACCTGCCAAAAAACAACACGGGGATTTGAGCAAATCTGAAAGATACAGTTAAACAATATATCTTACTCATTAGTCATCAAAGAAACAAAATCCAATCTTGTTTTATAGGAGTAAAACACCTCATAATTTGTACATGTGGCTTTACAGTCCTACAAGCAGTATGCCTTTAATCATATCGCCATTTCTTTACTCCCTGTAGTTGTGAAGGTTCTTGCCAACTGTGAATGCCCCAGCAGTTAATAACAGCAGGACCACAACTACACCCTCAGTCAATGACAGTTCTGCTACTCAGGTTCCAGGAGATATGTACACATGCAGTCAGCTAAGAGGACATACAGAGAAATGAGCCTGCACTGCAAATCTTCTTCCATCTGCCACACTCCTCAAACCCACCTTTGCTAAACATGAAGGATGTTACCACTAAGCCCAAGACAGCCATTCAACTATTTGAGGACAGATGAGATGATGATTTCAGTCACAAGTTTCTCAAAGAAAACACAGCAAAATTTAGCAACCGTAGAGTATTAATTGCCAGAGGGGGATGAAGTCAGACATGGTTCAGCAACAGTTTCTTGACTACCTGATAGTAAAGCACATTTTTCCTAAAAGATTAAGGTCTGTTCTGTCCTTGCTTGTCTATCAGCAAACTTCATCAACCTACCATAGTCATATGCAATGTCCCATTTCATTTGGGTTCCAAAAGCCACAGTGTAGTGCAGATGTCTCAGTAAGTCCCCTAAGCTCACGGGTCACTGTATCTTAAAGCAGCCCCAAGAACAAGACAAATACTGTCACACCATACCCCCAGCACTGTGTAACAGGCTGTAACATTTAACATGAAAAAGAACACTTCAATGATAAATGATGCTGTTATTGTTCACTTTTGAAGTAGAATGATTAGAAACTGCTTTTAGAAAGACTGTAGCTTTCCCAGGAGACAGATTATTGCCCAGATTCATGGGCAATAATTTAATTTGCACATCATGATATGATATCCATTTGCTTTATCGTGTGTGGGTATATTTATCATAGAATCACATACAGGGAGACATCACAGAATCCTCCACACATATCTCATAGAACTGTATATATATATAGGCACACACGTCCCACAAATATTCAGTGAATTCTGTGTATATATCAGTACCAGACTGGAGAGTAGTAGCAGGAACAACAATAGGGCCACCACCTCCACATTTAATCCTAGACCAGGCCTGGCCTGGAACACCTCCAGGGATGAGGCATCCACAAGCTCTCTGGGCAGATAATTTTTCTTTAACACCACCAATGTAAGTGCAGGGTTTCTAGGTCCAGGTCCTTTTTTACACTCCTTTCAATTTCAACTCCTAATTAACAAAACAGATTTTTTAGGAACATGGGACAGATAACAAATTACTGTAACCTTAGGAGGCTGCATTTCATATGGGTTGATACTGATGCTGAAAATTGAAGAATGAAGGAGTAAATCCAAAAAGCCACTAAGAAAGAAGAAAGTGAGGTTCCTAAAAAGACAACCAATAAACAAGGGAGGATGGAGATGACTTTAAGAAACACTAAAATGATGTACAGTACAGAAAGTGAAGCTAATATTGTAAAAGGATAACAGGAAATAATCTAGGAGAAAAAAACCCACAACACTTAAAGGAGAAAAAGAGAGCAAGGAGGATGATCAGAAAATAACAGATTCAAGCATAATACAGCTGGAATATCTAAATCCTAACCAATGATGCCTGCTCAATTGCTGCCTAGCACAGGAAGACTCCAAAGAACAGAAAGCCTTAAGGTTTGAAAGGAAGTTTTCCAAGAAAACACACAAGAATATCTGCACCCTGACAGAGCAGAGCAAACCTTAGCCCATGTTGTTGCTTGATCTGTTTCCAGAAAGGAGGAACTGCCTACTGCAGATATAAGTAAATGATCATGCAGGACAGGGGAATGGCCACCATGTGAAGAGTGCTTGTAGGTCTGATGTTCTTGGAACTGGATGAAGGTTTCACTGTGCAGTTTGCTGCCTGACAGGCAAATGCAGAGAGAAATCACTGGAAATACTGCTGTATTTTTCAGCTCTTGATATTTGAAAACAGAAACTAGAACAGTTAATAATCTGAAGCTGGTGGAAGAAATCACAGAGACATTTCCACAGTGAAAATTGGGAACTTATTATTTCAAGAAAAGTTGGTATTTCTCAAGGAACAGACCAGAGAAAAGAAAAACTTAAAAATATTGGGTAGGCTTTCAAACAGGGCTAAGCTGTACAAGAGTAGCACAGCGTTGTGATTCAGTTCACACTAATGAAAAAATGAGGCTAAATTGCAGATGAGTGTAAATGAGAGGATAGGCTAAGTCCTACCATGCTTTTACTTCACAATACAGTCAAAGGGAAGGAACTTGTATGCCAGGCAAAAGAGGTGGTTGGCTGCACTGACTAGTAAATTAAAATTCAGTCAATGAGTGTCAAAAATTATGCATGAAAAACAAAAATGCAAACAATAGGTTTCCAAGAGATCAAGCTTAAGAGGTAAACTACTGCATTACGGTTCCAGTTCAGTTCTCTTATCTGAAGTACTTCTTTCATGTCCATTAGGCAATACTTTAAACAGAAGACAAAATCCCAGTAGCACTTGGTTGGAACTAGTTCTTTATCTTAGAGTGATCCTTTAAGAATATTGAAGACCTGTTTTTCTATCGTTTCATCAGTATCAGCTCCTAACTACCTGAACAAGTACATTCAGACATCATGATACATCCTTTGAGAGGACTGCACTCAGGTTAGAATGAAAAAGCAAGCAGAAAATAATGGCATTGGGCTGTTTCTTCATTTCCTAAGTGCTTTACCCTCAAGCTGCTGTTGTCTTCAGTGGTGTTATGCTCACATCAATGTAACAAGACTTCCACAGCATTTATCTCATTGAGAAAGTCTCTTAATTCCTTTTCAGTGGATTGCTGGGGAACATGCTGTTCTCCAAACTGGAGAGGTTCACTTGCAACCTCTGCATTTGTTGCAAGCAACACTGAAGCATGTACCTGAACGCTTGAAAGGCCAGTTATCTTGAAAGCATGACAGACAGAGATTTTTATCAGCACTTAAGGACAAAGCTAGAAGGCCACATCATGTGGAAGTGAGCTCTCACTGCAGGGATGCAGGGTTTTGTTAATAGAAAGGCTTCCTGACAGCATATCCTTAAGATACTGAGCAAGATGCACAGACTTCAAATATTACATGTAGTGCCTAAAGAAAACACTGAGACTTGACTTGTACTGAAGTACAGGAGGAGAAAGAAAGTAGAGGAAAAGAACCACCAAATTAGAACATAGAAGAATCAAACAGAATTCCAAATTAATCTCATATTCAGTAAGTAGCTTATTTTCTCCTTCTGTGTGCACAGCTCAGACCTCTAAGTGTTTAAATATATATATATATATATATATATTAAAGAAGAACTACATTTAGATCTAAAGCAAAGGAAAATCCATATAACAAGAAATATCTGCAAGGCCCATTTCTTGAGAAACTACTTAAAATTTTCTGCAGCAAGGTCTACTATATAAATAGCACTACATACTTACAAAGATGAAGATGGACTTGAAATCTAAAAAGAAATACTTCTGAAGACCATGGCTCAAAAAGGGGAAAATAAAGTAAGTGATAGCACTTCAAATGAATAAGCAAAATAATAAAAAAAGAAACTTCTATAATTCATCCTTCTGCATTGTTTCTCTCACGTCAAAACAATTATTCAAACATTAAAAACATCACAGTTTAGTGAAACACAATTTTTAAAATTAAATGCTGAAGAACTTTGCAAGTTACTTTTAGAACTTTAAACAAATGGACTAAATGCTGCCCTTGAGCATAACTGTCAAAAGTTAAACTTACAAATAAACTAAGAAAAAATTCAAGTATGAAAGTGCGTTATGCATTTACTCTGCAAATATTTACAAATTTCCTCACAGAATAAATTTGCTGAAAAAGGAATAGTTGAAGTGGTCCTTGGACTTCTAGACTTGAATCCAGTTACAGCCTGAAGGAAATGAGTTGCTTTAATGGGTATCCACACAAAACCTGAAGTCTGCTGTGTTAAGGCTGATTTGGTATCTCTCTTGCCTCTTTGTGCTGGGAGTAGAGCACTGAAAAAGCCTCAAGATCAGCTTGTTGACAGCAGGATGATCATCCTCCTGCACTAACGCACAGACTTTGGGACCTGCATGCTCACTGCAGTGCAGCTGCAAGTTTGGAAAAAATGGTCCCAAGCGGCCGCATGACCTAGCGCTGAGATGTGCAACCGAATTACCCAGGGATCTCCTACAATCTGAAAATCCTGTGCAGGGCTACAGGATTTAGGACTTCGGGAGCCAGTAAGAAAAGGAGGTGGTGTGAGTGGGAATCTTTCCACTGTGGATCATCCCCAGAGTCTAGGAGCCAGGGACTATTGCCAGCTTGAAGCAACAGGAACCTTGGGATCAGTGCTGAGAAGGAAAACACGGGGGATCCATAGGCAGCTGCTCATTTTGGAGGAAAAAAGACCAACATATCAAAACTACCTAGAAATGTGTTGCTATTCATAGTCATGGTGGACTTAAACATTAACAACATCCTATGACTCTAGGCACTGGCCAGCTCTATCTTGGTATGGCAGCCATGCTTTTGTTCTCTCTAAAGATCTGAAAATGTCAGACACATCAAATCATCAAACTTACTTTTTCTCTCTTTCACAACAGAATTCTAGTACATAAAAACTGTTTTGTTGTGTGTTTTTTTTTTTATTGACAAGGAAAAACTATGCAATATCCTCATTAAAACATATACTTCCATAGCAAGAAATCCATGTAGCTGCAGTTTAAAGCAGCAAACAGGAAAAAACACTTTTATACAAACCAAACCATTTCCCAATTCCCATGCTAGTTGCAGGGTACCAAAAATACTACTGTTCTCTGCTGTGCAAAGAATGGGGCAGGTGGAGGAGTGGAACTGTAAACCACTGCCTTAGGCCTCTCTATTAGCAAATCATACAAGCTAAAGGACTGGAAACAAATTCTGAACAGAAGAAAATAGCAAGAGAAAAATAAACAGCAGAATACCAAACATCCTCCAGTGAAGTATCTATCTCTGAACTCTTTCTATAACCACACAGGCAGCAAAACTAATGTTGGATGCAGTAAGTTCCTTTAAGCTGCTCTGTGTCAGAAGACTTTTGGGAGAGACCTGCTCTTATTGTCTTTCTCTAGCATCTCTTACTGCACCTCTGCACCTGTGAATGAAAAATATGCATGGAAGAATAGCTGTGAGCACAAACAAGTCTTTCTCCTTTTGCTTGCTGTGTTGCCCTGTCAGCTAAACCAGACAATTATGAGTCTAATCTGAATAAATAATAATAAGTAATGTAGCCATTTGAATAAGCTGCTAAATAGCAATTAAATTTAAACAAGTAGAGCAATGATTTCAAACATCCCACTAACCACAAAATGAAATTTATTAGGCTTCCACACTCCCAGTCAATCGTTCTCTGGTCACAATAAAGTGATCATGAGTGATAGCAAGAGTAGCAGACACCAACCAACTAGGATGGAATAGAGGATGCCCGGTCGATCAGAAGGAGGCTGGATGTTTCGGTCTTGATCTATGGCTTGTATGGGTGGAGTGACACTGATAGGGTTCACATGTGCCTGAAATGAAAAATCAGACAGATTTCAAACAAATTAGAAAGCCAATAGGCAGGTCTTTAGCTTTAGTGCAAAAACAACCCACTGAAATTGATATTTGCTGAAACTGTAGGAGAAAAAGTACTCATATTTAAGAGAATACTTACAGCACAGGTCCTAGTGAAATAAAAATTAAGTAGACAGTGATCTTCTATATTCTGATACATCTTGTACTATGAAGACATTTTCAGAGAAAGGCTCTAAGTCATAAAAGTTCAAGCAAATGCTTCACTACACTGCCACAGACAGTCCCTCAAATCAGGTATCTCAGACATCACCACAGCAGCGAAATACAACAAATGATTTAAAAAAAGGAAACGAAAATCTTATTTGTTGTAAGAATATACAGTAGAACATAAATTCAAGTCAAAGTGTGGATATTGCAAGGACGGGCACATTTCAAAAGTTTGGCAGAACATTGCAGTAACACATTGCAATAAATGCCAACATTATGGATAAGTGGAATGGTCACACATGCTGAACATGGAAACAGAAAACAAGAAAACCAGACTTTCCTATCCTTATTCATCTTGTGCAATATTTGTATTTCCATCTGTTGATCCACCAAATTCAGCAGCACTGCACAGCTCTCATCTCTGGGCTCAAGGCGTTTGCCTACTGGCACAGTGCTAAGACCTCCTCGCTTCTGCCTTTCCACATATGTCAGGCACATCCAACCTGCACCCTGCATGTGGCCCAGCCCTGCCCATATGCAGCCCACTCCCTGTCTCAAGTCATCATGGCATCATGACTTCCACCCACTGAATGGCCCAGGATGGCTCAGCAACAACCAAACGTTAGTGTGCTGTTAATGTTGTCTGGTTGAAACCACAGCATGAAGAGGGAACAGTGCAGTGCCAACTGCAGTTACGGCAAATTTGCACAACTGTACACATTTTGATACACTGGCTAAACACAATCCTGTCAACAGCAGAAAAATATGAACACATGCTTTTCCCCTGGGGGACACTGCTTGTCACTGATGTCCATCCAAACATGGAACTGCTGACCACCACTCTGAACTCAATCCTGTAGGCAGCTCCTCATCCACTGAAAAGTCCACTCATCAGATCCCTATCTTTCCAATCTGAAGATTATATCAGTGGCTCTTCTCTTGTCCACTGGATTTACTGACAACATCAAAGGCCACCAGGTTGATCAGACAGGATTTGCTGTTGATGAAGCCATGCTGGTTCACCTGTATCACTTCCCACTCTTCAGTGTGCCTTAGCATAGCTTCCAGGACCATCTGTTCCATGCTCTTTCCCAGCACAGAGATGAGACTGACAGGATGGTAGTTCTCAGGATCACCCTTTTTACCCTTCTCAAAAATGGGCATAATGTTGCCTTTTTTCAAGTCAGCAGGGACTTCACCTGACTGCCATGACTAATTCCCTCAGGACTCTGGGATGCATCTCATTGGGACTCACAGACTTGTGGATGTTCAGGTTTCTTGGTGGTCATGGACCTCATTTTCACTTACAGTAACAGGAATGTTGCTTCCCTAGTCCCCTTCTGCAAACCTCAAACATTTGAGAGCTGTCTGGTGAGCAGTTGTCAGAAAAAAAATGAGTTTAAAAAAACTTGTTAAATAGGCTTGGACAGGTATGCTGTTTGGTGGGTAAAGAACTGGCTGGAGGGCCAGGCCCAGAGACTGGCAGTGAATGGAGTTCAATGCAGCTGGCACCCAGACACAAGAGGGCTCTCCAGGGGTCCACAATGGAGCCCATCTTGTTTAATACCTTTATCAATTACCCGGATGAGGGGATTGAGTGCACTCTCAGTAGGTTTGCAGATGAAACCAAGTTGGGAGGAAGTGTCAATCTGCCTATAGTTAGGAAGATCCTTCAGAGGGATCTAGACAGGCTAGATAACTGGGCTGAGGTCTATGGGATGAAGTTCCGCAAGACCAAGTGCTGGGTCCTGCATTTTGGTCACAACAACCTTAGGCAACACTGAAGGCTTGGGGCAGAGTGGCTGGAAGACTGAGTAGAAGAAACGGACCTGGGGTGCTTGGTTGATGCTCAGCTGAATATGAACCAGCAGTGTGCCCGTGGCCAAGAAGACCAATGGCATCCTGGTTTTATCAGACATAGTGCAGACAGCGGAAGCAGGAAGATGGTTGTCTTCCTGTATAAAGCTCTAGTGAGGCTGCACCTTCAGTGCAGTGTTCAGTTGTTGGTCCCTCACTACAAGACAGACTTTGAGGCCTTGGAGCATTCCCAGAGAAGGGCATCCTTGAGGTCCCACAAACCATTCTATGATTCTATGATAAGGCAACTGGTGAGGGGTCTGGAGCACAAGTCCTGTGAGGAGTGGCTGAGGTAACTGGTATTGTTTAGTCTGGAGAAGAGCAGACTCAGGAGAAAATTCAGTGCTCTCTACAGCTCCCTGAAAGGAGGTTGTGGCAAGGTGGGGTCAGCTTCTTCTCCCACGTAACTAAAAACAGAACTAAATGGGAACGGCCTCAAGTTGCACCAGGGGAAGTTCAGATTGTATATTAGGAAAAATTTCTTCTCCGAAAGAGTGGTCAGGCACTGGAATGGGCTGCCCAGGGAAGCGGTTGAGTCACTGGTGTTCAAAGGTGGTGAGGTGTTCAGAGGAATGCTTAGATGTAATACTAAGGGATGTGGTTTGGGGAGCTGAAATACTGGTGGTAGGTGGATAGCTGAAATAAGTAATCTTAGAGATCTTCTCCAACGTTGATGATTCTGTGATTTTGTGATTATCTGCAAATTTTCAAGCAGAATGTGTAAAGTTGCAATCAGATATTCAACTCAAAATTCTGATCATGTCTCTTTACCTTTTTTGTCTCTTCAGGCTTTTATAAGACCTTTCTTACCAGGAAGAAATATCTCTCGCTTCACAGTCACACCCCATTCACGTCATCTCTTTTAGTGGTACACACATTTGTGAACAATTATTGGAAGGATGAAGCACAGGAACAGCAAACTTACATCAAAAATCTCTCGAGAACTCACTAAGAATTGAAATCACTTTTATCGAACCAGAATTGACGCATTAGTTCCACAATAACAAGGTCAAATATCCCACCAGCTCTATGTTATTGCCGCTCATTTTTAAACGTTTTAATAAAAATATTAAAAGTTTGAGTAAGTTGTGTTACTTACATACATTAACTATTTGATATGTTTTATGATGGTTGATCCAAAAGTAGTGCCTCCTGTTTTACTGTGTTGGCCCACAATGTCAGAGGTGGATGTTGGTCATACGACAGTAGGGGCTGAACCTTCCCACCAATATCCCACCACATTTTGTTGCCGTGGGACAGATGGCAGCAGAGGGGCGGTCTGACAGAATGGTGTCTGACATGGAAGAGCAGATGAAGCAAAGGTGTGCCACTGAATTCCTCCATGCAGAAAAAATGACACCCACAGACATTCATCAATGCTTGCTGAAAGTAAGGCGGTGGTGCACTCCAGCACTAGTGACAGCGACTGTGGGTCACTGCAGCATGCAGGCTTTTCTTCAGTGCTGGTGAAAATGCACAGCTAACAGTGGTGAATTTGTTTTTTTTTTTTTTAAAAAAAGCCTATGCTCTGTAGCTGACAATATGCTCTATCAAACAGAATTACTGTGCTCTTAATATCTGTCACAGACTCCATGAACATAAATGGGAGGCATTACTTTTGGAATGACCTAAATATATGTGACCTAAAACTATTCCTTTTCACTCAGTGAGGCCTAGGCAAGCTAAAAGATTGGACACCCTTGACTTACGGCTTTTTCCGCAGTTCTCAACTAGCAAAATAGGTCTTTTGTTTCCACTTTTGACTCTTTAAAAAATTAAACTCTTAAAAGAGTAATGAGAAAGACTGGCTCAAAATAGGCATAAAGAAAGAGAGAAGATGATCTATTTGACATATGTTTGAATTTTTAAAATGGTTTCGGACTGCATAGAAGTTACATGCTGTGAGACAAGAGCAGGCATAATTGTTCAAGAGAAAAAAAAAAGTTATTTTAAAAGTACAAATCAGCTGAAGCACCCACAGACAAATATAGATTATGGGCAGAGACATTTCTGCAACAAAACCAATCTCATTCACTAAGGCAGGCTGAGTTTTAAAGCCACAATTACAATACTGCAGGTCACGCAGAAGTGTTTGGCTGGAGAAGCTATCTAACCTTGCTAACAACAAGCTGTCAGCTCCACCTGACTCCTGAAACTATGCTGCAGCAATGCTTAGTGGATATGCAACTCAGAGAGCAAGGACATTGGCTTTGCTTTACTTTCCACTTCAAGAAATTGAAGATTAGCATTTAGAAAAAAAACAGATTTGAAATATAGCAGATTTTACTTGAACTGCCGCCACTACACTAACTATTCCAATCCAAAGCAATCAATAGAATAGAACCAAGTCATATATAAGAAAACAAAGAATGAAAGATGAAATCTATCACCTTTTTCTTCCATGCAACATGCAGTTTGTTTTTTTCTAAGTACTGCACACTCTCTGAATGGGATGCTCATAGAGTAGAAGTTACTATGCAAAAAGATCAATCACAATCAGTTCCAACACTTGGGGATAATTTGAAGGCATTTTGAATGAAGTAGATTGATGTGCCTTGAAGCAAAACTAAAGGTATTTTCATATTATTTTCATAATCAGTGAACAATGCAAGTATCTTTTTCACTTAAACTTGAATTAGAACTATGAATACAAAACTGCACCCATGACAACATAATTAAGTATGTTAATGAATTTGTAAAAGCACTTTAAAGATCTTTCCAGAAGTTGTACATAAACTTGATTACAATTACTTGAAAAATTTGAAGTCAAAACATGCTTTGCTCAATAGACTACAGTCACTATGGTATTTCTTGCTTACGGGAGCACTTGAAAATGGAAAAGTCTTCAATGGGTGCTTGCAGCATCTCCCAGGTCCCACCTGTGTGATGCCACTGGGTAGCCAACCTACTGGAGCTCAGGGAGCCCTGCTAA